GAAATCTTAGTAAAAAGGAAAAAAAGGCTATTGAAAAAAAAAAGGTGTGCTTGAATCTTGCTCAACCAAATATGACCATGAGAAACAGGAAATGTGTTGTTTGCATGAAAAACAGGATTCAAGCCATGATAGGGGAAGAGATCAAACTACCAGAAGCACCTTCCTCTCTATCCCCACCTCCATGATTTCAGCTCTTCGATAAAACAGCAGCGGAAAGAACTCAATTTGCTGCAATCAAGTAGCATTGGATCTTAAATTGCATGTAAAAAGTACCATACTCAAATCCACAAACCATAAGCTTACTCTACCTACAGAGATTACCCTTTGAATACAAAAGAATTGAAACAAATTCAGAAAATTCCTGACATATCAAACCAGAATTTCCCACTTATATCATTTTATCGGGTAAAGGAGAATCAGTAAACGGACAACAGAAGACGAAACAGAGTATCTCATCCATGAGCATAAACCAATATTAAAGAGATAGGAGCAGAACATAAAAACCAATTCAAGAATGTAAAACAGCTGTATGACACTGAAAAGAAAGGAGGAGGAGAAGAATCTCGCACCTGATCCGACAAAGAGAAAAGTCGAGTCGAGCTATGCCTAGTGCAAAGGATGCGGTAGTTCTAATTTATAGTTGTGGGAGTGGTAGTGAGGCTTGGAGGATGGAAGCCGCCACCGCGTGATTGTTGAGAGTGTTATCCGCGCACGAGCGCGGATACTAAAAACCGCGCATCCAAACCGCACCCCGATGGACACTAAAAACCGCGCTAACTCCTCCAAAGTCTTGGTAAACGGGATTAGACATTTCCATATAGACCACAACAAATAGGACACACACAAAGATATCGGAGTATCTCATAGTAGTTGGAGAGAGATTAATTATAGTTACCGAGGAAGAATGTCGCTTTCCTTATTTGAAGAGACAAACCCAGAAGTAGAAAAAAACATATGAACTGGAGATGGAACCGCATTACATCATGATTTCAGATATCTCAGTTAGCACCACAAATTAAATTGATTCTCTGAATAAGTGTTTCACCCTTTTACAGACAAAATGTTGGCTACATGGTTGAAGTTGTCATCCCGTCTTTCAAGCACGGCATCAACAATTTAATATAGCTAGTCTCTGGATTAACAACTGGCCGCTCTGTTCTCAGTTTCTGTTAGTTAAAGCATAAAATTAATGAGGGAACATAACAATGTATAGGCATAAAATTAATGAGGGAACATAACAATGTATAGGCAGTTAATAATGGGGATGTGCCCCTACTTGTTCATGGTTGTCTACCATGTTATGACATAAAGAACATTTGCATTTCCTTTGACTTATTTTCTTTTCCCACTATACTTTCTCGTCCTAATCTCAACTCCAATAGACTATGTTCAAATTAATTCCAAATCACGTTACCTACATATACATAATAATAATGCAAATATTGCTAGTAGAGAGCGATATACTACTGAAATTAAGGCCATACGGACTATAATTATAATCTAATACTGCATCAGAACTATTGCTTCAATTTCACATTGAAAAATTACTACCTTCTTCTGTTTCTTAATCTCCATGACTTCAACTTTCTACAAAAACATGTACAAGGAACTTGAAGAGTGGGATGGCCAATGAACAAGCAAGGCAAGAAATTGCATAAATTCTTGTGGATATACAAAGCATGTTGCAAGGAATTGATTTGAGTGTACAAACCAGAAAAAGGAGAAGAGAAATACATCACATTAGACATCGACTTGAGTAATGGAAACTTATCATGCTAGACTTACATAATGTTTCTTGTCATTGTCATTGATTATTTTCCCAAACAAAGCATCTTCCTGCACTCTGAGCATACCCTATTTTTGTCTGGTTGAGGATAAAGTGAACAAGGAACATACCACTATAGGCAATTAATGATGGGGATGAAATCCTTGTTCATGGCAACTGTCACTCATTTTATCACATAAAGCTTCTGTCTTCACTTCAACCATTTTCTTTTTGCATTGCAATTTCTCAATCTCATCCATAACCATTAGCTCAGTATTTGGATTAATTATGTTTGCAATAACTGCAAATCACAGTACCATACATACAGCAGCTCTACTTGTGTATGACAAAATTATAGCCAGACAGACAGTAACTATAATCCAAAGAGCAAACACGCATACATCAGAAGTATTGCTTTCCAGCCTACCCTGTTCCAATCTCTATGGCTTTGACATTTGGAGACAAACAGGCATAATACTTTACTTGCCAAGGAGCTTTGACAAGAGACTGAGATTAAAAGATGAGTAATCAAAGAAAAAATCATTTAACATTCACTGGTGCTACAAAGCCCATAGCAAATGAGCGTACAGGTAGGAAATAAAGTCTCCTAGGGAATGTCCCAGTGGTTAAGAACTCAAATCTCCATGTTGGAGATCTTAAGTTCAAATCTTGGAACAGTTGGGGAGGGGCTATCCCCTATCATATAGCTCATTATCCGATGTACCAAAAAAAAAAAAAAGTAAGAAATAAAATTAACATGACACATATACTAATGGTAGCTCATGCTGCCAATTCTCATGCATGCTTCTTGTCAGTGTCACTGATTAATTTCCCACACAAAGCATCATTCTGCACTCTGAGTACCTTATTTTCAAGTTTTAATTTTACATTCTCCTCTGCAATCACCATGTTATAATGCAGACTAGCAATTTGTCTCACTTGGCCATTTTCTAATTTAAGCCTTTCATTTTCCAGCTGGAGGTCAGGGCAGGATGCCTATAAAGAAAGAATGAATACGTATAAATATTAAATAAAAACAGTAGCCAATCATCAGTCTAACAGTTTGACTCATACTGGAGGATTATGCATCAGGTTCACCCTTCAAGCCCATCATATTCGAGATTTATACATCATGTCAATGGTTAGAAAGCAAGTGGCTTGAACAGCATATGAGATCAAACCTAAAACCAATTAAACTTTGACACACTTTCCTATTGGACCATGCACATGGGCTAACAAAGAGGCTTTAACAGGAAATAAGGACTCTGATGCCATATTAGAA